TGCTATTGGCTTGTCTAGTAAGTTCTCTGCATATTGTTCTTCCCCTTCACATGCTTGGATTATAGATTCAGGTGCCACCAACCATATGACAGGAGTCTACCTCAATCACCCAATCCCTTTCACTAAAACTCACCATAAACATATTATTACTGCTAGTGGTGAAAAGTTAGACATCATTGGTAGTAATGATATGTCCCTTCAACTGTCACCAACCAGATCCTTCTCTCTCCAAAACCCTCTTAGTACCCAACCTTACTACTAATCTGATTTCTGTTGGCCAACTTGTTGATGAAGGAAATGTTGTCACATTTTCTCATGATGGTTGCTTGATACAGGACCGGTACACTGGGAAGGTGAAAGGGAAGGGGCGTAGGCTGGGCCATCTATTTGTGTTGGAGTTCGAGAAATCTCAATCAGGGGCATCCTCATCTTTACTTAGTTCTTCTTTGTCTGATTCTCTATTGAGTTATAGAAATAATSTTTGGGATTTATGGCATAAACGATTAGGTCATCCATATTCCCAAAAATTAAAATTTTTGTTTGACTCTGGTTTGATTAAGAATAAAATTCCTCCTGTTGATACGTTTGATGTTTCTTGCACTACGTGTTGTTTGAGTAAAAGTCATGTTTGACCATTTCTTCATAGATCTGAACATGCCACTAAACCTTTTGAGATAATACATAGTGATGTTTGGTCTGCTTCTATTACTTCACGATTGGGGTACAAATATTTCGTATTATTTATAGATGATTGTACCAGATATACTTGGATTTATTTTTTGCGACACAAATCAGAAATCTTTGGTGCATTTAAATTGTTTCATACTATGGTGCAAAATCGGTTCAAGTGCAATGTGACTATCCTCCGCTTCGATTCAGGGGGAGAATATAGAGATGGAGACTTCCTAGCATACTCGAGGAGTTATGGAATTTAGTCTCAACGCAGCTGCCCAGACACTCCACAATAGAATGGTGTGGCTGAACAGAAGAATGGACATATTCTTAGTGTTGCGCGGACATTACTACGGGAGTTTCATACTCCAACTTCGTTTTGGGTAGAAGCAGCTAGTACAACCGTGTATTTGATCAATTTTTTCTCATCCTTTGTTCTAGGCAACACTTTTCCCTTCCAAAAACTTTTTGGTTATCCCCCAGATTTATCTACCCTTCATGTTTTTGGTTGTCTTTGTTTTGTTCATCTTCCTGTTCGTGAATGATATAAATTAACTACTCAGTCTGCTATGTATGCCTTTGTGGGATATAGTCCTGACCACAAAGGATTTTTGTATTATGACCATGCTATTTGTCGTATTCGGATTTCTCGGAATGTTGTGTTTCTTGAACATATCTCCTTTGTTGGGGCTACTAGATTGTCTGCTCCTTCAATCTCTGTTTTGCAGGACTTTGACTCAAATGACACTACTATTTCCTCAATTGAGAGAGAACTTCTTGTCTTCACCTGCAAGTGGCTATGTGTCCCGGCTCTTGCGCCTACAACCCCCCTTCCACCCGGTCCAGAGCATTCATCTCAGATATCCTCTGTAAGTGATACCTTGACCCAAGATCCTCCTATTTTAGATGGTAGTTCAGTTATTCCACTTCGTCATTATACCCGTATCTCTCGACCTCCTGACTACTATGKTTTTTCTTCAAACCATAGTTCCTTTTCTGTTGTACTTTCTTCCACAGATATCCCTAGATCTTATCAGMAAGCCATTAGAAGTTCTCAGTGGAAAGAAGCTATGGATGCCGAAATTCAAGCCCTCCATGAGAATGATACTTGGGATCTTGTGCCAGYTCCTCCTGATGCTTCTATTGTTGGAAGCCATTGGGTCTATACGACCAAACTGAAGTCAGACGGTTCTCTTGATCGATATAAGGCCARATTAGTTGCCCAAGGATACAATTTGAAATATGAGATTGATTACGAAGAAACATTTGCCCYGGTTGCTAAGATCACCACAGTTCGGACTCTTGTGGCCATATCTGTTGTTTATTCTTGGACTATTTACCAATTAGATGTGAAGAATGCTTTTCTACATGAAACCTCCGCTTGGATATTGCTGTGATCCTTCACATGTCTGTCACCTGAAGAAGTCTTTATATGGCCTGAAGCAAGCACCTAGGGCTTGGTTTGAGCACTTCCGGGATGTTGTTATTGCAGCTGGGTATAATAAGAGTTCCTCTGACTACTCCCTCTTTGTTAAGAGAAGACCCTAGGGTATCACTATTCTCCTATTGTATGTTGATGACATGCTTCAAACAAGGGATGATCATGACAGCATTTGTGAGCTGAAGTCCTTACTTCATAACTCATTTCACATGAAGGACCTGGGTCCTCTCACTTCATGGGTTTGGAGGTTCATTGTAGCAGTCGAGGGTATTTTATTTGTCAACAAAAATATGCCTCTGATCTCATCAAACTAGCTGGAATCACTGATGAGAAACATGTTGATACCCCTTGGAGCTGAACGTCACGCTATCTAAATCCGAAGGCCTCATCCTTCCTAATGCTACCTTGTACCATCAGTTTGTTGGCTCTTTGATCTATCTTACTATGACCAAGCCTGATATTTCACATGCTGTTTAGGTTGTCAGTCAATTTGTCTCTGCACTGCGACAACCTCATATGGCTGTTGTTCGCTGCGTCATCCGTTATGTTGGAGACACAACCTCTCAGCGATTGTTTTTCTCTTCCTCATCATCCATACAGTTGAGGGTTTATGCTGATGCTAATTGGGCTGGTTGCCCTGACACTCGTYGATTCACTACTGGGTGGCGCGTCTTCATGGGTGATTGTCTCATCTCCGGGAACTGCAAGATCTAAGTCTTCTCCTGAAGCCGAGTATAGAGCTATGTCTTCTGCATGTAGCGAGATTGTTTGGCTGAAGTCCCTTTTCATAGATCTTGGTATTTCTCTTCTTATTCCTATCCCTCTGTATGTCGACAACACCAGCGCTATCAAGATCGCATCTAATCCAGTCTTTCATGAGAGAACTAAACATATCGAGGTGGATTGCCACTTTATTAGAGACCTTGTTGCAGTTTCTATATCTCTTCCTCATATAGCCTCTCACATGCAGATTGCTGACATCTTCACCAAGGCCATGACTAAAAGTCGATATCTCATTCTTGTGGGCAAACTGATACTGATGCCTCCACATCAGTTTGAGGGGCAGTGTGAAGATATATCTTGATGTACATTATTAGAGTAGTCCTTGTTGTACAGTATCGTATTCTTATTATTTTATTTGTTCTTTTTATCTTTTAGCCCTGTAAGGGCATTCTTGTAACTGTACATACCTTTTATCTCTTTAGTATAAAAGACTCTTTGGGGTGGGGGTCRACTATTCATGACACCCCTAAATCTGTTTTCTTCTCGCTCTCAATTCAGTTCACAGGCATAGTGATGGTACTTGGGATTTAGACTGAATTGAACATCAAGGGTATTTTTGCCATTTTATAATTTTTCTATAGGGTCCAATAATAGGGTTTGATTGTATATTTATAGTTTGTTTATGTTTAAAATTTCAGAGTTGCATAAGTAGGATTAGAGTTATTGAGTCTTCTTTGAATTGAAATAGGATATAAATAGCTTAGTTTGAGACCTACAAGAATTATTGAGTCTAATAGTTTGATTCCTTGGATTATTATGAGTTTAGAGTCTATAAATATGTATGGATGTTTAACACAAAAGGCAATGAAGTTTATTTAGTTTTCTTCAGCTTATGCTATCTATGGTGAATGATTCCCATGCCCTAGAGTGATTCTAGGCACCCCATAAGTGATTCCATGCATTTTCTCTCTTCTTTCTCTCCTCATTTTCTCTATTATCCTTCAAGAAGCCATTACAGTCATTAACAACCATAAAATTCTGATCAAGGAAGATCAGTCAACATTCTCTAAGAACTAGAAGTGAGCTGGTCCTACATCACCCATGCCCACCCATCAAATTTCTATACGTGAGGAAGACATGTGACCTGCACCAGCATTGGGCTCATGCTCCCTTTGTGAATAAGAGGACAAAGGGAGATCATGCTCCCTTCGTGGTGGGGATATTTTCCCTTTCTTATTTCTTGTTCAGGAGGTAGGGACCCTTGAATGTTGTGGGTAAGTTAGGTAAATACTTTCTTGCCTTGGTCAATGGAAGGAGGACGAACTTTGTGGGTAAGGTAAATAGCTAGAATCTTTGTGGAGCATTTTAAGCCTTTTTTTAGGAGACCCTTGAACTCTAGGCAGATTATGGAAGATCTAGAGTGGCCAAGATTGATTAAGTACTCGATGGCTTGAGAGAAATTTTGGGGAAGAAGAGATAAAGAAAGTGGTTTTGTTGATGGACAGATCTAAAGCCCCAGGTACGAATGGTTTCACTATGGCTTTTTTACCAAGATTGGTTGGATGTGATTAAAGATGATCTCTTTGAAGTTTTGCTAGAGTTTGTAGACAGGCATAGATTTAGGCCAGGAGTCAATGCCACTTTCTTAGCTCTCATCCATAAGAAATCAGGAGCTAGGCACCCTAAGGACTTAAGGCCTATTAGTCTAGTGACTAGCATCTACAAAATCTTGGATAATGTGCTTTCTTTGGGGGTTAGAGAAGTGCATCTATAAATTTATGATCAAATCCTTATTTATAATGAGTGTGTGGAAGATATGAGGAGATTTGGCTGTCAAGGCTTTGTGTGCAAGTTGGATTTAAGGGTGCTTAAATTCTTGCCATTGCTCAGTTTTTGTCAAAGGTGTAGTTAAGGATTTCTTTCATACATGTAGAGGATTAATACAAGGYGACTCTCTGACCCCTTTTCCTTTTCACCCTTGTAGTTGATGTATTTCACCCCTATTGAAATAGGGTATAAAAAAAAGGAGAAATAGTAGACTAAGATGGTTTTGTCACGTGCATAGAAGGCCACCGACAGCTCCAGTTAGAAGAAATGATTTGTTACAAGTGGAAGGGGCTAGAAGAGCTAGGGATAGACCAAAAAGGACATGGGTAGTAGTAAAAAATGATTTTAAGCACTAATAATTTAACAGTGGATATGGCTTTTAGATTGGTGAAAATAGGATTCATGTGGAAGACCCTATATAGTTGGGATAAGGCATGGATGATGATGATGATTCTTTTCCCATTCGTGAAAGTCATTTCGGCATATCCTGCTACAAATTTCTAATACATAGCACAGACAGAGAGCAATTAGTTATGGGTATAAAAAAGGGTGTGATTTAATTGCTACCTGGTTTTTGTATCTTTCCTTTTTCTTATTTGTGGACTTTAGGGTCAGATATGTCTGTTTTCCCAAAAAATCTTGTGCATCTAAGAGCTAACAACCTAGTATTGTTTCTTTCCTTTTTGTCAAACAGATGAGCCGGAAGACGGGAGAGGAGAGGTTTCCCATAGACATCGCTGAATCTGCTTTACTGATCAAATCGCTGATGGTACAGGAAAATTAACACTACAGTGTACTATAAGAACCCTATGCATGTATGTCGCTATAAGATAGACGCATGGATCAGTTGTGACAAGAGCGATGCTCTAATTGCAACYACTTCCCTACATGGCATGTTCATGTAATATCATCATGAATGTTATAAAAAGGAAAATGCAGAGTTGACCGGTTATTAAAAGTATAACTATTCATTGTACATATACTTGAGAAAATTATGTTAGTGTCCTCAAAAAACAGAATACTTGTCATGCTACATGTTGTAATCATGGTTTTAAGCCATCTAATACCAGATAGTTCACCCAACATTGAATTTCATCATCTTTAACATTTCCTGTGTTTCTGGCAATTCATACGTAGCTTAAACTATTAAAATATATGTTTATTATGCATCTATCTATATATTTATAGTCATTTGGGCCCCCTAGTGTGTGCATGCATATTTGTTGGCATGCATCTAGCTGTTGAAAGGGTTTGGCTCATTCCAGTTCTACTGGTTGGACAGAATTTGAATCCGATTTCTACTCCTGGTCCAATTCCCGATTGAACCAAACAAGCGGGGGATAGACCATTTTGATTCTAATTCCCCAGAGATTTTTTTATTCTGAAACGGACCTGCTTAAACAGTGATCTCTTGCACTCTTATTTTCGTATTGGTCTACTTGGTGATCTCTGCATTCTTATTTTTGTATTAGACTACTCGATTGATTTTAAATAAGAGGTTAAGGCCACGTTTGGGAGTGCTTAAGTTAAAAGAAAGTGTTTATTGAATAAGTGCTTGAAAAAGTGCTTATTCGAATAAGCACTTATTTGCATTTGGCACCCAATTTTTTAAGTGCTTATTTTTTAAATAATCACTTATTTTATATTGCATGTTTGGTAGTCTTTTTTTCTAATAAGCACTTAAATAAGCATTTGTGACTATTTTGTCCTTCATTTTTTTCAAATTTTTAAATATACCCTTTGAAAGCATTTTTATTAAATTACTTTTATAAAAACACTTTTATGAAAGTACTTTTATAAAAGCAATTTTATGAAAGTGCTTTCATAAAAGTACTTTTTTGAAAGCACTTTTATTAGATTACTTTTACAAAAGCACTTTAAAAAGTACCTTTACGAAAGCACTTTTACAAAAGCATTTTTATAAAAGTACTTTTATAAAAGCACTTTATAAAAGTATTTTTACAAAAGTACTTCTATAGAATTACTTTTATAAAGTGCTTTTATAAAAGTGTTTATAATAGTACTTTCGTAAAAGTGCTTTTGTAAAAGTACTTTCATAAAAATCGCTTTTATAAAAGTACTTTCTTAAGAGTGCTTTCGTAAAAGTACTTTTATAAAAGTGCTTTTGTAAAAATGCTTTCATAAAAATACTTTTATAAAAGTGCTTTCATAAGAGTACTTTTATAAAATTCAACTAGGGATAAATATTATAAGTGGTATTTTAATGCTATCCCTACTGTTTGACTATTGTCTGATGCTACCCCTACTGTTTCAGAAAACTACCATTACTGTTAAAATGTTAATGAAGAGCTGAAATGGCCGTTTAGTCCTTAGGTCAAATTGAAAGCTTCTTTGGTTTTTCTTCTTCTTCCTCAGTTTCTCTTCCCTGTCTAGGTCCAGATCTGGGTTTCTTCATCTAAGATGAGGTGGGCAGGTATGGAGGAAATTCGAACAGATGCGAATCTAAGCAGAGAGATTTGAACAGATGCAAAACAGCATCGGCCTCTCTCTCTCTCTCTGTCCCCTTCGTTCTCTTTCCCTCACGTGTGATGGAATATTAGCATATGCTAATGGTAAGGGTAGAGCTAGTCAATTGTTAGAAATAAAGGGTAGCATTAGACAATAGTCAAACAATAGGGGTATACTTAGTCAATTAGCTAAACTATAAAGGTAGTTTAAGACTTTTGCCCTTTTAAATTCAACTAGGTATAGTTTTGGAAGAAAAAAAATGAATAACTGCTTATAGTATAAGTACTTAAAAAAAGCTGATTTGGATTTAAAAAATAAGGCCTTATTTTTAAAGTAGGCACTTATTTCAGGTTTATTTCCCAAATACCAATAAGTGTTTAATGGCCTAAATAAGCACTTATTTTTAAGCACACCCAAACATGGCCTAATATACTTTGGATATTTTAAGGCAAAGTTTGGTTTTTCAATGATGACAGGACAAAAGTTAACATGTAAGTCATTATAATGCCACTTTACATAATCGTACATTAATTTTTATAGGGATTATAACAGTTAAGGTCAACTTTTGGGCCCTAATATCAATAAAAGTAATACTTTTATTTAAATTTCAAAAATAGGTTAACTTTTTAAAAATAATAGTAATTAAGAACAAAAACACTGCTCATCTTCTTCCTCTTGCAATTAAGTCATCAATGCCGCTGCCCGTCATTGCCTCCAGCAAACTTCGGCAATGCCTCTGCCTATCTCTAGCAACGTTGTCGGAGGTGGGCGGAGGCAAAGGCAGCAGCGGTGGCAACGCTGGTGGTCATTCCTCTACCCAACGCCGCCACCTCCGCCCACCAACGTCGCCGCCTCTGCCTTCTCCTACCTCCGGCAACGTTGCTAGAGGCGGAAGTAGTGGCGTTGGGTAGAGGAATGGCCACTAGTGCTGCCACCGCCCGCCTCTAGCAACGCTGCCTGATATAGGCGGAGGCATTACTAGCGTTTCGATATTCTAAACCTTGGACGGAACAAGGTTCAAAGTATCAACACGTATCGGGTGGTATCGATCGATACATATTGTATTGGGGGCTTCCCGATACGCCCCTACAGAGGGTGTATTGGGGTTTCGATTGGTTCAGGGAGTGGACGGACCTTAAATTGGACCCTTTGAACCAAATTTGAAAAAAAAACTAAAAAATAAAAAAAAAAATATCGATACTACCCGATATGCCTCTATCGGCATATTGAGCGTATCGATATTTTAAACCTTGGACGGAAGGATGTCACTCACTCTACTTTCTTGCTCCATATAGGAAAATAATACCCTATCAATCCTCTTCTCCTTTAGTATGGTCTGGATATTTAAAGTTGTTACTATGCCCAAAAGGCTGCAGAATCTTCTATCCTTARAAGGTTCTTTGTTAGTCATGTTTGACAATTATTCCTGAAAGGTTGGAATTATATTGATTTGCTACTGGTTATAACTATCGTGATGATTTTCTATCGTTATGTATGCCCTTAGCTTCAATCAGATTGATGTACGGATACATTTATTGTAAATGAATAAAAGTACATTATTGTTTCAAGTTAATATTGGTTTGTTTCTATGAAATTACCCCATAAACTAAATACTTATGTGACTCGTGTTAGTTTAAAATATCCTCAGTTATTGAATAGACTTGGGGAGTTTATTCTGTCAAGGTTGACACTGATGTGCTATCAAAGAAGTTGGAGCAACTTGTCTTAGTTGCTAAGGTTAGACCCGAAGCACATGTAGTGTGTGTTTAAATGAAACACTGAACCCAGACCATTTTCCAGTTATGCTGGACCTTGGAGATTGATGAACAAAATTGAAAAGTTATACATAACCCCTAGACTAGATTATGGTACTACACTAGGTGTTAGATTGGGTTGTCTTTGATATGCCAATCAGTGAGATCCATCAAGGGTCAAAACCTARGTATGTTAGGGAAGTCTGAGAATTCATATGAGTGGGTGATCATATTGATAGGATTGACCCCTTTGTCGGACAAAGTGAATGATAGGGCTTACACTCTCTCTGATGGAAACCTAAATTACTAGCGTTGGATTTCAACTATGTTTGAGATTTGGTTTTGCAAAATATATTTATATGATATATATTATGTTTTATGAAAAACATTTGAAAAAATGTTTTAATTCCCGGGATCCATCCGAGAAGAGAGTGTGACATTGTACCTTGCAGCCAGGGGAGAGGTCCTTCCCTATTGGGTAATGTTTGATCATTATGAGCTGAGAGATTAAGTATAAGAGACCATTACAGGGTTGATTACCTAGTGGGCTTTATCTTACTTTAGTCTATTATCTTTGGATCTTCATAGGATGGCTGAATTCAATGATCATATAGGTATAAATGTTGGACCCATATTGAACCCATAGTGATGTGCTTAGGGGTTCATTGTGTTTAGTTGTAAATTTGGCTAAGCATTTTCATAGAAGTTGGGCTGAACCTATGGACTTATTTGATGTCATTGTGGGGTCCCACGCCATACAAATCAGGCCTAAGTTGGTCATTCAACATCTTAGGTCATGATCCTTTGAAGGAAATGGGCATAAGGCCCATAGTTAATAAGATTAAGTAAGTTTCACATGACAACTTAAGTTTTCATGTGCTCTAGGTCAAATCTGGGTTTGAAAATAGGTATAGATCACCAATGATCTTAAGAAGATAAGGCTCATCTCTTAATAGAGTCCAGRTCCAAATTAGATTTGGATGATTTYCTAATTTGATTAGGAGAGTGCTCCATAAGGAGATAAAAGAAGAAGAGGGTGAACCTGACTAGAACTAGAACATCACTCTCTCTTATTCTCTCTTATTCTCTTTTGTTTTTCAAGAAACCCTATCACGACCTAGGCTTTCGAGGACTGATAAAGATCAGTTTTCTTTTGATTGTTGCAAGAAAAATTTAGAGGAATTTTAAGCTCACCTTCCCCATTTCAATCCAAGCATTTGGGTTAAAATTTTGCTAAAAATTGTGTTGTTGAATCAACTTCACCTATACATTGCGCCATCTTCAATAGAGGCTAGTTTTAGAAMTGATTTGAGCGTGAACTTCCACCTTGGGATATGTGTTTGTGATATTTGTATTAGGTATAAATCTCTCTTTGTTTGGTTTCAAATCAGGTCCAATTCAGTGCAAGACTGATATTAAAAATGCAATTTTTCAAAACATAAGAAATTCGATTCCTAATAGATTATAGCACCTTTTAACGATTTACTCGCATGGACTGTTATCATGCCAAATTACTAGTGTGTATCTGAACCCACTGAAATAAAACATGTTGAGGATGGAATAAAGCTAGATGGAATCAACCCATTGAAGCAATGAACACTTACCAAAGTCAACCAATCCTATACAAAGCCAGATTACCATTGTATAAATACAACCACTGAAGCTGAAGCACCCCATGGCACAGTGTCACACCATTATCAGTTACCACAAGGTTTCAATTTTCAAGATGAAACCCCAACGAAAGCTGGACAATGGCGTGTCACTGTATCATGTTACTGTATAGTATATACCTCAGGGTTTTGATTTTCAACAGTTACTCACAGCACTGTTTTTGTTCTCATTAAATCCTAGCCATTCCAAAATCAAAATATTCCT